GTGACATCGAAGTTGTTTGACCCCCTTGGCCTATTCAGCCCTATACTTATAAAAGGAAAGATCCTATTGCAGGAACTTTGGCTAAATAAGCTAGATTGGGATGAGTCAATTCCACTGCACTTAGAAACAGCGTGGAACAAAATACAATTTGCCTTGTCGCAATTAGAGGACATCTCAATTCCGAGATTCGTGTTTACCGAGCCGATTTCACCGATTCAAATTCATGCCTTTTCTGACGCATCGATGAGAGCCTATGGAGCCTGCGTCTATATTCGTTGCAAATCTGCAGAAGGTATTAAAGTTTCATTGTTGACGGCAAAGTCCAAAGTAGGGCCGCTCAAGACAAAGACGCTCCCCCGTCTTGAGTTATGTGCCGCTCACCTTCTCGCAGATCTCTGCCGCAAGATAAAGCCTCTAATAAAAGTTCCGATCGAACGAAATGTATTTTGGTCGGAATCAGAAGTAACTCTTCATTGGATTCGTTCCCATCCATCGTCGTTGTCAACGTTCGTATCGAATAGAGTAGCTGAAATTCAAGAGTGGTCAGATGATAGCACGTGGCGGCATGTACCAACTAAACAGAACCCGGCAGATATAGTGTCCAGAGGTGGAGACGTAAAGGAGACTGTAGAATCGATCTGGTTTACAGTTCCATCGTTTTTAAAGGAACCCGAAGATAAGTGGCCGACGAGCCCCCGATTTGATCCGTCACCAGAACTTCTACAGATGGAAGCGAAAAAGAATGCGGTCGGATTAACCGCAATCGTATCTACCCCAGATTTATTGGAAGTGATAGAAGGTTATTCCTCTCACCTAAAACTGCTGCGAGTGTTAGTGAATTAGAAATTAGTAGTGAATTCTGATATTGTTCCCTCACCTGTCGAATATAATGAAGCCTTTAAGAAAATAGTCGAAATAGTCCAAGAGCACGAGTATCAAGATGAAATAGAAAAGATTCGGAAAAAAATTTAAGTGTTAGCCCTAGCCTACAAAAGCTAAATCCCTTTCTACACGAATCTTCAGAGGCTGGGCTTACCTTTTCGTTGTTGCGGGTTGGGGGGCGACTAGCTAATGCTCCTATATCGTACGATGCCAAGTTTCCAGTATTGTTGAAAAAACGCTCTCAATTTGTTCAGAGCTACGTCCGATACTTGCACGAGTCGAATTTTCATGTGGGTCCACGAGCACTTGTGAGTCTTTTGCGACTGCGCATATGGATCGTAAGTGCGCAGGAAGTCTGCAGTCAGACAGTACGGTCATGCATACGCTGCTTTAAATGCAAGCCTCGTCTGATGACTCAAATCATGGGTGACTTACCCTTAGATAGAATTCGTGCTCTCCGCCCATTCTCCATATGTGGTGTTGATTTTTGTGGCCCTATTGATACGACATTGAAAATTCGCCTACCCTATAGGCCACCCTATAAGTCCTACATTGCCTTATTTGTTTGTTTTGCGTCCAAAGCAGTTAATTTAGAAGTAGTTTCCGACCTTTCAACTGATTCCTTTTGATTGGCTTTTCAATGGTTCGTTGGGCGCAGGATCCAGCAGGACCAGCAGGGTCTAACGTGCTTGCGGCGATGGCGGCTTGTCTCGTCAATTAAGCAAATGTTTTGGCAGCGATGGTCCCGGGAGTACGTCTTGGGCCTACAGGCGCGGTCGAAGTGGCAGAACAAGGAGGGCGAGCTGGTCCTGATCGCAGAGGATCACCAGCCGCCACAACAGTGGCTCACGGGACGAGTAGGAGCAACACACGCCGGCGCGGACGGAAGGGTCAGGGTCGCCGTCGTCCGAACTAGCTCTGGAGCGGAATACAGGAGAGCGGTCCACAAGCTGGCGCGGCTGCCAGTTGGTTGAAGCCTGATGGAGGCCTTCAACGGGGCCGGTGTTTATTGCTTTGCTATTGTATTGAAGTTGTCGAAAATTTAAATTAAAGTTTATGTAGTTGAATTGTATTTTGTAGTTGTTAGTTTCTAAATTTACTTTAAGATAGCTTAGGGCGGAGCAGGAGCGAAAGCTCATACTCGCTCTGGTGCGCATTCGCCCCGCTTCGCCGCAATAGATAAGTTAGGCTTAAGATTAGAGAGAAATACATTCGAATTTATCAAACGGCGTTTTATCAAGCGTTTATCAAATTTATCAAATTTATCAAGCGTTTTATCAAACGGAGAACGTGTCGATCGACGATGGATAGTCTACTCTATAAAAAAATTTGAATATTCTGCTTTTGTTGTAAAATTTTTTCAAATCGGCGCAAAAACAAGTTATCGATTTGCAGTTCTTGGGTTTCAAGATTGGAAACATACAACTTCAGCAATAGAGAGCCACGAGTTATCACAAACTCACTTGCTAAACTTTCAAAGGTATACTGACTATTTTAATTTTTTAGATTAAATTCAAACAGTTTTATTAATGTGTTCCACTAAAACTTTCGATTGGTTAACAGATGATAGCCCAATCTTGACTTGATTAACGACAGTGGCAAATATTCGCTTTGAGTGACCGTAAATCATACCTTAACAAAATCGTGGAGTGACTATAACCTCAATTTGAAAAACGAATGCGTATTTTACCACAAAATTTATAAACCGACATTCTGTAAATAATTCATCGTTACATTGCAGGTGAATAGAATCTGAATTAAGAATTAAACAAGTATCTGGCATTGATAAAAAACTGCAAAAAATGATATTGGATGAAACGATGCGCTGGCGAGAAGTATTGAAGCGCGCTTGTTGCTTATCACGTTGTACTTAGCAGAACATAGTTTGGCTTTTTGAGGTCAAACTGATAAGTTTTTTGCTTCAAACAATGGCAACTTTTTGGGGCTTGTCGAGATGATTGCACGTTTTGAACCGGTTTGGAAAAACACTTGGAAAAAATCTCATCCCAAGAAATACACGATCATTCATTATCTCGGAAAAGACACGCAGAACGAATTTGTAGCTTTGTTGGGAAACACTGTTCGCGATAAAATCTGTTTAAGGATTTCTTATGCCAATTACTTTGCCTTGATACTTGATTGTACGCCTGACACGAGTCGCCAAGAAAAATTATCTTTTGTCAACCGATTCGTCGATATGGACACTGAAGAAGTTTTGAGTTGAAGAACGCTTTTTAGACTTCGTACCGGTTTTATCTTCCACGGGTTAAAATTTGATGAATGTGACTTGTACTGAGTTGGACAAATTTGGTCTTCTTATTGCAGATTGTCGGGGCCAGGGTTACAACAATGGCTCCAATATCAAGGGAAACATATCAGAGAAATGAATTCTCGAGCATTCTACACACCCTGCGCATGTCACAGCTTAAATTTAGTGTTTTGTGACATGGCTGCCGCAAATCGTCAAGCAGATTATGTTTTTGGCATACTGAATAATATTTACTGCATTTTTGGATCATCAACACAGAGATGGTCGATTTTGCATAAACATGTTGGGATTGGTGAAAAAAACGGGTCTGAAACAAGATGGGAGAGTCGTATAAAAAGTGTCAAAGCAGTAAGATTTCAACTTAAGGGTGTTGTCAAAGCTTTGTCTGAGTATTCTTCTTTAGAGTCAGATTTTGTAAATAAACACAAAGTTGAGTCTATAGTAAAAAAATGATGAAAATGGAATTCGTCGTAGGTTTAGTTGTTTGGTACGATATTTTGCTCGCTGTAAATGTCGTGAACTAAAAATTGCAGTCAAAAGATATGGTACTTGATGAAGCTGTGAAAGGGCTAAAAGGAATTAAGAGTTTCTTATCCGAATATCGCTGTACTGCGTATGAGAAAGCATTAGTTGTAGCTGTTAAAAGATCTCAATGTAGAACCCACATTCGAAACTAAGAGAATTCGAAAAGTCTGAAAACAATTTGAGTATGAGGGTCATAATGATCCTCGGAACTTAGAAAAATCACAGGAATAAGTTTTACAAATAGAATTTTTCAACGTCGTTGTAGATGGAGCTTTGTCTGCTGTGTCTGCACGGTTTGAGCAATTCGAGAATTACGAAAATCTGTTTAGATTTCTGTACGATCCGAAAAGATTAAAAAAAAATGCCTGAAGACGCTTTATTAAAGCATTGTAAGGACCTAGACTTAGCGCTACGTTACGAGAACGAGAAGGACCTGGATGGTGCTGAGCTTTTTTCGGAACTTCCGGCATTTCATTACGGATGATATGCAAAACGCCATTCAGGTTCCTCGATTTCTCCGTTCTTGCGGTAGTGGTTTCCCGAACACTTTTATTGGATATCGTATATTATTGACTATTCCCATATCTTTGGCTAGCAGTGAGAGATCGTTCTCAAAATTAAAATAAATTAAAAACTTTTTGAGATCAAGTATCGCTCAGGATCGCTTATCATCGCTCGTTTTGTCAATCAAAAAGGATGTTTCACGTTCGACTGATTTCGACACTGTCATCGACACATTCGCACAAAAAAAAGGTTGGATGTTTAACTTACATGTCTAAATTGAAACAAATAAATTTAATTGAATTAAACGAATGTAAAAATATTTCTTTTAATTATGTCAATAAGGCCTCGCGATAAATCCTCGCGTTGGCTAACGCCGGCACTGGCACGCAGTATATAAGTCGGAACGGCCGAGATCGGCCGACTATATCCTATAGCTGCCATATAACCGATTGATCGGAAATAGTATAACTTTAGTGTTTTGAAAGTTAGAGAGTTCAAATTATTTTTGGCAAAATAATACGACATGCCAAATTTCATAAGGATCGGCCGACTATATCCTATAGCTGCTATATAAATGAACGATCGGAAATGGTTTTTGGTAGAAATACCAACTTTGGTATTTTTAAAGATAGCAGCATGGGACTTTTTTTTTTATATTTTATTGTAATTAATTGGTTTTATTATGATATTCTCATAAGGAACGGACAACTATATCCGATTTTTGCGATATATATGCGATTTTAACTGCAAGGGTATATAAACTTCGGTTCCGCCCGAAGTTAGCTTTTCTTTCTTGTTTTTAATTAATTTTTTTTTTCAGTACCGATACAAGTATAGTACCAGCGTTTTGGAGACATACATTCAAGGAAACAAAGTCCCTTTTAGTTTTTTACTAATGCTTATCGTACAATTTATAACAATAGTCACTGAACGGGCTATATATCTAAGAAAAGCTCTGATATATAAAATAGTATTCCATTTCGTTACTGTTGTTGGAATTCATATATGGATGTTTTTTTTAGTACCATACGTAACAGCTCATAGTTTTGGCGAAACAGCTCCTGTATTTTTTTATCTTATCAAGTGTCTTCATATGTTACTATCCGCATACCAAATACGTTGTGGTTATCCAAAACGAATATTAGGAAATGTGTTTACAAAAGGGTTTTCCTTAGTAAATTATATTGTTTTTAAAATGTAATTAATTATAAAATTTGCAACCATGAACCAAGTTTAATATATTTTCTACACAGTTATATGGAAATACCATTTCTTTATATACTTCGAACTATGTTAGATTGGGTGTGCATAGATACCACCCTCACAGTTATGGAATGGATAAAAATGGAAGACATTTTTCAGTCAGTTTTTATTGTTCGATGCTACAGGCAGATCGATACAGATTTTCCGGTTTTGCGTGGTGAGCCGAAAGCATTGTATATCAAGCTTCTTATAGGAGGAACTATAATATTGGTTCTTATTGCTCTAATATGGAGCCCGTTATTTCTCTTTGCGTTAGTTGGAACAGTGGGTAAAGCTAATATTCCCCGAAAGGCTGATATAACAGTAAAAATTAGTCATTATGAACCAATATATGTATCGCAAAGTTATTCTGGTATCCACCAATTTACCGAAAGAGACTATCAAGTGCTAACAGAACGTTTTATGTTTGATAATTACGCATCTGATCATATTATGGTGTATGATGCAGTCGATATAACAGCTATCAAGTTTGATGCGAACTCTGTTACATTATGGAATATGTCACCTCCTGATAAGCTACGATTGTTGGACGATTTGAAAAATGGTACGTTATTATTCGAATAAAAACAGTATTAACATTACTTTAAACAACTATGCAGATGTGTCGTTAGAGTTGCGGTTAAATCTTGCATTAAAATGTAATCTGACTCCAGAAACTGTTATGTATGAAAAAACGTATACTCTGACGGAAAATGAATTTAAGACAAGGAAAATGCTAATTAAAATTCTGTCTGAAGAAAATGATAATGGGAATGTAATTATACCAGACTTTCTACCAAAATTTATCACCGTTCAAAAACTTCAAGTAAATGCCAAATTTATCAAGGATTACGACAGTAAGATTAAAAATTTACATTTAACATTTTTAATGTAAGAATTTTACTCCTTAAAACTAAGTTATGGTAGACTTGTATCACTTTTTTATATTCCCCAGGTAATGAACGCAGGAATTTATTTTTAAAGAATTATTACTTGTTTTCTTCAAAGTTATAATGCTTTTTCAATTTATAATATTTATATATAAATAAAAAAAAATGCTACGCAAATCATATAATGTAACAGCCGGGGTATTTGAAAAGTTGTTTATGGGACCTTGAGAAATCCTTCGGTTCGATTTCTCAGGGAGCGCGACGAATTAAAGAAGTGTGCCCGATAAAGTGAGCGGAGGTATTTCAGTGCCTGATTTCTACACGATTCACGATGAATAACTTTTGATCAAGCTAAAAAAATCGCCGGCGAAGACGTCCCCTGTACGCCCCTGGAAAATGGAACGCGTACTAGGACCGTTTCGAACTATACCTTTTAGCGAATCTCTTTTTACTGACGAGTATTTAGCGTACGTCGAATTTGGTAGTCTTATTATTCTTGAAGCAAGCACATGGATAAGCGCCGAACTTTCGGTCATGCTGAGAAAAGCGCCAGCGAAGAGGTGAAAGAAGAAATAAGTGATAATCAATCAACTCCGAGAGGGAGTCTCGCTAAGAGCGGCTGTACAGTTGAGCCAAATACTGTGGCCAGCGAAAAGCGATCTTCCAGTCGCCATGCGGAGTCGCCATAGCTGGAGTTGGAACTCTGGAACCTTTCGACTTGTTAACCCCTGGGAAATGGAAGGCGTACCGAGATCGCTTCGAGCTGTACCTTTTAGCAAATAGGGTCGTGGACGAGGACCGGAAGAAGACGGCGTTGTTTTTACACTAGCGGGTGCGCCCCTTTATGAGTTACTAGTGTCGTTAGCATCACCCAGGCAAGTCAGTGAATTGCAATTGACAGATGTGTATTACATAATAACCAGTCACTTGGCGCCCTACCAATTGCTGCAATATATCATTCCCACAAGCGTGATAAACACCCCGACGAGTCCGTTGGTAACTACATGGTCACATTAAGGAGAAAAGGGTGCAATTAGCGATTCCTTAGAGGTAGGGTGCAATTTCGGACAAAGGTAAGGTTGCATGTTGCGGGACGGACTCGTGTGGGGCAGGCGCGACGAGGGTCCCCACCAAAGCTTGCTAGCCGACGCGTCGCGACGCAGAATTGACGGGGCAGCGGGGCATGGAACGAGACGTTACTAGTGAAGCAGGCGCCGCGATTGCGTTGTCGTTTGGAGGCGATAAGGCCCGACGACCCGCATCCATTCACGGAATAAGTTCGTGTTGCGTTCGTTGTGGGGCTCGGCACGTCCGTAAGAAGTGTCCGTTCCGCAACGCCACCAGCCTGACAGATCTGGCCGCATACGTCGAGTATACCGCAGTAACAGTCAAGATGAGTTAACCAAATCTCATCGCCTACGCCCAGTACGTGGTCATCAAAAAGATTCGGTGGTGAGCACCAAGAAATCCGTGGTCATGGTCATCAACGGTCGCTCATGCCAGTTAAAAGTTCATTCCGGTTGGTTTGCCACCATCGTGAGAGAATGTTCGTATCAGTAAATCTGGTTGAACGGTAATCCCGAGCTTAGAAAAGAAGGTATTCATGGAGTGCAGTACGGTAATGGTATCGCAGCAATTCTAAGGAAATTCGGCCAATAGTTTTTATAAGAACTTGGTCGGTATACGGGCCACCAGGGGCCCTCCAGACTGCCTGAGCATCGAATTCTTTACGCACTCATCACGCTATATGCAAAAGAGATAGACCATATCTGTGCTCAAGGAATACTTGAGCCTAATGAGTATTCGGTGTGGGCCCCTCCGACGGTGCCCATAGTAAAAAAGGATAGCTCCATTCGCATTTGTGGAGATTATAAATCGCATCCTACAAGCAAATAAAATTTTCGAATAAGAGGCTATACAATCTACTGCACAGTTCAACCAGATGGAAAACCCACGGCAGAACCGGAGTTATAATCAGATAACACATCAAAAACCATTTTCACAAAAGGTTTGCAACAATTTTTCTGCAGGCCACATCGATACAAATTTAATCAAGTAACGGAAGCCTTTCAATCGCCGTTTACTGGTCTTCTACAATTTATGCTCTTCTACAATTCACTTGGGGATCATATCATAGATGCAGGAGGCTACAATGCCAAACATATGCACTGGGGACCACGTCTAGTGACTCCCAAAAAAAAAGCAACTATATACTACTCAATTGTAAATATGAAACTATAAACTGGACTATGTTTCCCTTGGAAGTCCCATATACTGGCCAACAGACCCACGCACGACCCAGGCTTTATTGATTTTGCGGTGCCAAAAAAACATACCTCACAATATAATAAATGACAAAGAAGTCACCGACTTATCATCAGACCACTCGCCTGGGCGAGTGGCGGCTACGATCGGCGGCGATATCGCTGAGATGTTTCACCAGGTTAGGATACACACAGAAGATTAGAGATACCAACGCTTTGTATTTACAGGCCCACACACAACGGAGAGAGAACTACCCCATGCCCATTCAACAGTGCCCAGTACGTAAAGAACAGAAATGCAGAGTCGTTCAAGAAGCAATACTCACGCGCTATAAAGTGCGTCCTGGAAAATCACTGGTAGACGACATTCTAGACAGAGTCAACACGGAGGAAGAAGCCATAAGACTCCCGCGTCGGGTTCGGGTTCATCTTCAGGGTGGATTCCTCATTCGAAACTGGGTATCGAATTCCAGAGAAGTACTGAGCGCACTCGGCGAAAGAACATCCACGACAGATCAAGAAGGAGCTAAGAATGTGGTGGGACACGAAAGAAGATCTCATCCACTACCGTGTTTCCCCACGATATCGCCAAAGAGAACTTATCCAACGAATTACAAAAAAAATTTTTAATATCAAAGCTGAGATCAACCCTTGCTTGGATACGACGCTCCTGCCAACAATGCAATGCCCCCAAACCGCCGCGTATGGCGGAACTTCCCTATTTAAGAGACGCAGCCTTTCATAGAACCTTCAGCTACACGGGTGTGGACTACTTTGGGCCTCTGATGGTGCGGGTCAGACGGAGTTCACAGAAACGATATGGCGTGCTTTTCACCTGCCTCTCTAAAAGAGCCATACATCTTGATGTAGCGTATTCATGTGTTTCGATAGATACTGACTATTTCAGTGTTTCGATAGATAGTAAAACTGCTCCCGCGGCATCTGGCAATGCCTAAGTTGCAGAACCGATAATTTAAGCGGATGTTGAATCTCTGTTAAGTCAGCCGGTCAGCCATATGCCTAAGCTTTATTTTCTACTAAGTGAGACGAAAAGTGAGATCATAGAATTAAGATTTGATTATGAATTGTACGACCGTTAAATTCCTAGGAAGTGCTTATCGCTGCTTGAAGTGTGTAACAGTGGTTACCCTTTGCACCACTGTTAGCCCTTGCTGATCTTGCCTTTGTTGTGACAAGTGCCTTTTCACATTCGGATCCTACTCTGATATTGTAATAGTGGTTTTTTAAATATAAAAGAAAAAATATGTAATAGTTTTTGTCTTAAAATAAACATTTTCAACGATGAATTTCGACTACGTCTATTGAACTATAGGTATACATTATTATTTAAGAGTTAACTAAAAAATTATTTTAATTTATATTTTCATTTTAATTTTTCTTGACAGTTTTATTAAATTTACTGTTGCGTTAAATTTAAATTCATTGTTGTAGTTGTGCAATAAAATTTGGATTAAAAACAAGAAAGCAAAGCTAACTTCGGGCGGAGCCGAAGTATCAACTTCTTGCAGCCAAAATTGGATATATATCGCAAACATCGGATATAGTTGGCCGATCCTTATGATTACATCATAATAAAACCAATTAGTTACAATAAAAAATCTAAAAAAAAGTCGCAAGCTTCTATCTTCAAAAATACGAAAGTTGATATTTCTACCAAATACCATTTCCGATCGTTCAGTTATATGGCAGCTATAGGATATAGTCGGCCGATCCTAATGAAATTTCGTAGGTCGGATAAACTGACCAAAAATATAATCTTTAACAAGTTCCAGCTTTCTATCTTCAAAAACACGAAAGTTGGGTCATTTCCGATCGTTCAGTTATATCGCAGCTATAAGATGTAGTCGGCCGATCCTTATGAAATTTGGCATGTCGTAATGTGTTGCCAAAAATAGCTTGACGTCTCTAACTTTAAAAACACCAAAGTTATACCTTTTCCGATCAATCAGTTATATGGCAGCTATAGGATATAGTCGGCCGATCCGGGCCGTTCCGACTTATATACTGCGTGCAAAGGAAAGAAGGGTGTGTTCAAAGGAGGTGATCCTGATCAAGAATATATATACTTAATAGGGTCGGAGATGTCTCCTTCACTGCGTTGCACACTTTTGGACAAAATTATAATACCCTCTGCAAGGGTATAATAAAGAATTTAAAGAAATAAAAAAATAAGTGAAGAGGCTTTGCTAATTTTTGTATCCTCTTTGGATCTGTATCGGACACCTCCGTGATGTCGGCTTGGAAACTATCTCCGAGATGTAATTGTCTAAGTGACTGTAGAGCTGCGCAGTAGCATAGAGTGTGAGTTTTTTCGAGGTTTTCGAGTTGCTGATGATCGGGCTGATCGATTTAATAGCCACTTGGCTATCGCTGCATATGTTGACTTCGCTGCGTGCGAGGTTTCAAGAATGAAAGTATCTTCATACTTTGATAGTGCTTATCCTGGAAGAGCTGTAGTGTTTGGGTACTCTAAATGAGGCTCTGATGCCTAGTTGCTTAAGTTACACCTCCTCCTACTTCTTTTCTGGTTTTGAACCTCCTGTGTAGAAGCATATTTCATTCTTGGACCGGGGTTTTTATTATTCCATTCCTCTCTATCGGGAATAATAGTTGTACCTTCTGAACCTGCTACTAGCAGCTTACCGTCGTTGGTCACTAGTCCAGTGACTCTTCCTCCTACTA